ACAGCTGACAGTCCATTATTCTGTTGCGTCATGCCTTCCATCAGAGTCTATAGCTGCTATGCCGAGCAATTTTTTACAGCTCCATGATTTGTTCTTCTTGGTCCCCATTGCGCGTGGTCGTCTCTATATCACAATCGTTATCTTCCCCCGTCAATTATTTGTCCTCAATTTCGTCCACAATCAATTGAGTGTAATCGAGACCCTCATAAAACTCTTTCGGGTCCGTCAGACCAACAGCTCATGAGCAAGCTAACAGTCGTTTGCTTATGTGCGGCTTCTTGACTACTAGGCTGCTGCATAAATTGCCGTAACGAGGTGAACAACCCAGACGTTTGTTTCAAGAAATTTTAAGGTTGCAATTGGTCATTTTTGAGAAGAAAAAGAGACCAACAGATCGTAATTTTAACTAGACATAGTGAAAGATGAAATTTTGCTGGGGTGTAAAAAATAGGTAGTTAATGGAAATACTGCTTAGAAAAAGAAAATAACTGGAATTTAGAGAAATGTGAGAGAAGAGACAGACAGACAGAGAGAGAGAGGGAGAAGTATTTTTAAGCATAAATGGTTTGAGATAAAATTTCGCCAAATTGAAGACAAAAACTAGTTGATAGAAACATTGCTGAGCAAAAGAAATTCGCTGAAGTTTTCAACGAAGAAATTAATAAGTAATAATTCTAGATAACAACTGACTCAAAATTAATGAGCTAAAATTACTGCAACATGTTTTAATTGAAAAAATAACTTAACAAAAGAAACAAAGAGTGAAAATTGTATATTTTGTAAACCCCCAAACAAAAGGAGGGACGAATACACAAAAGAAAAATTTTTGTTTTTTTTTACAAAGCCCTAACCCAAAAGAAAATTGAGCGACGGCGGCAAATTGCGCAAAAAATTTATCCTAAAATATAGCGAACCTATAACCAATCTTAATACATGGGATACCTTTGTACCAAAGTTAGTTTACAAGTGTTAGTTTATGCATGTGTAGCTGCTTCTTCGAACGTCGAATCTGTGAGAGTCTTAGAATCGGTTCAAAAACGGTTGTAATACTAATAGTACAATCTCAATGTACAAGGCCCTGGATAAGTATTGCCAATGGATAATGAATGAGTATGAATACAAGAAACACCTTCTTCGCTAAAATTTACTCCCGATTCTATTTTTTTGTTATTTAGATCTGCTAATTCATTCAAAGCTAATTTTAAAAATCTTGGACTTTAACTTCAAAACTAAGCTTGGTTTTGCGAGATCTCAAAAGTATGGTAAAAGAGAAAATCGAGTATTTGACTGCTCACTTCCAAATCTGACAATTGCTGAACAGACAATCTGGTTTACAGTACGAAGACTGGCAAATCAACTGCCACATTGAATTGATATCCGGGATTCCAAACTCCTGAAAGGCAAACTACCTAACTGTATGTGGAACTACTCTGAATATTTTCATTATGAATCAAATACTTGCACGTGACGGATGAAGTGTGACTCTACTGTAAAAAACTGTAGGCTTCTAAATTCTTGATTGATGACAAGAAAGGTGATGCCCCCTTGTGTTTTGACACTAAATTGGTAATAAGAATAAACATAATCATTGCCAAACATACTTAACATATAGGGCCCTGGATGAGTTCTGTATCCGTGCATGTTTTCTTCTTGTTTCAAAGAAACTATCTTTGCCAGTTAAACAGCACCTATCGTCTTCTGTTTATCAATTTCCATGAAAATGAAATTCAGCAACTTCTCTTTGAACTTACAAAGTAGTTAGTTTTGCTGTTTTTTTTGTGCTTTCTTGTGCGTACTCCTTCTTGTCATCTTATAAATTAACAAGGCTCACCCTTGTTGCTCCGCTGGATTTGTCTTTTAATTTTGTGTAGTTTGATGATTCGGAACAGCAGATACGTGCAAAATTACTTTTTCCTCATAAGAGCTACAAACCTTCTAAAACGCAGCACAGTTTCCCAAATTTTTGTTTCATGCAGAGCTCGAACGGTACTCCTTTTCAACGTTAACAGTTTGCTTCTGATTCTCATATAATATCGGAGAATTTTCCGCAGGCTGTTCTTGAATAGCATGTTTTACCATTGGGATTTTCTCTTTTAATGGCTGCCCTAATTAAAAAAAGAACTAATGATCCGATCTTAAATGCAAGATTAATCTCGAAATCTCTGGGATACAAAAGAACTTCGTCGCTAGCCGATAACTGAAGTACTCGTTTTGAGTTCAAATTCTTCAATATTAGCAAAAAGAACACGCTCTGAAAAATAGCCCATTTCTAGCAATTAAAAATAACAACAAGGATGTAATTCAAGGAATTCGCAACGGCCGCTTGACGTGAAAACGCATTTATAATTGATAAAAATTGGCCATCCAGAAATTGATCTGATGTTTCAAGTAAATATTCATGAAACTAGGCAACTTTATCTATAAGTATGCTTCGATTGTACCTTTAGGCGCGCGACCAAGGTACTCCATGGTAGCATTTTTCATATAATCAGATCATTTAATCCCAATTTCTGTTACCAAAAGAACTACGAAGACACTATGGAAATATCTAAAAATCAATAAATTTTAACATAACCCAAACAAATAAAAAAAATAGAGCGGCGGCCGCGAATTGCGCTACATATCAATCCTAAAAAATAGCGAACCTACAGCCAAGCCTAATACATGGGAAATCTAGATACAATCTTTAAATATAGGACCCTAGGGAAGTTCTGCATCCGTGATTGTCTTCTTCTTATTTCAAAGACACCATTATTGTTATGCAGCACCTGTCGCCTTCTAATTTAAAATTTCCATGAAAAAGTACATCATCAACGCCTCGTTGAATTAGATGAGACCATTTTACTGTTACTCTTGAGTGTGATCCGTCTTGTCCTCTTATAAACAAACACGGCTCACACTTGTTTCCGCTGGGTACTTTTTTATTTTTGCGCAACTTGATGTGTTCGAACACCAGATACGTGCAAAATTTGTTTTTGCCCATTAGAGCTACAAACCCTCTGGAACGCTACACAGCGCAGTTTTTATCAAATTTTTTTTTATAAACTAGTCCCCCTTCCACCGTTATCAGTTTGCTTCTGATTCTCATATATTATTGCTGAATTTTTTGCAGGCTGTCCTTGAATGGCATTTTTTAGCACTGGGATTTTCTCTTTTATAGTCTGCCCTAACTAAAAAAGAACTAATGATCCGATTTTAAATGCAAGATTAATCTTGGAATCTCTGGGGATTCATAAGAACTTAGTCGCCAGCCGATAAGTAAAAAACAATAGTTTTGAGTTCAGTTTCTTCATTATTAGCAAAATAAACACGCACTGAAACAGAGCCCATTTCTGGCAACTTAAAATAACAGCAAAGTGTAATTCAAGCAATTAGCAACGGCCGCTTGACGCTAAAACGCATAAAATTTGTTTGATATTTCGAGTAAATAATTCATAAAAATAGGCAACTTTAGCCAAAATTATGCTTCGATTGTACCTTTAGGCGAGCGAACAGGGTACTGCGCATTTCTCATTAAAACGGATAGCAAAGCCCATTTTCGTATGTTTTGCAAATCGATTATTCAGGTAATTCATTCAATACGACTGCCAAAAAAAATCAATTTGTTGAATCGTATGAACTTACAACTTAACAACTTGGTTTACCAAATTGGTAAAAATTAACGATGGTATCATTTTACTTTTTATCATCAATCAGATAGATAGGCAGTTTCCATTGCGTCCTAATAGTTTTTTTCTTCCGCAGTCGATTCCTGGATATGTTACCAAAATTTTTTCTTTAAACCTGAAAAAAAACGATTTGAAATTTTGGTTCGAAGGTGAGTCATAATATTTGTTCAAATAAATGTGGTTATTAATTACGACTGATAATTTAAAGATTACTGAATGTTTTATTTGATTGTTTTTTAGCTTTGTTTTTAAGGTGAGGATGTCGTTTTCTTGAAAATTTGCTATCAATTTTTGGACAACGTGTAGGCCGTCTCGTGGCCGTCCTGTATATGACAAGCAATTTTTCTGAACCAGCTAATGCTCATTAAAAGTAAATTTGCACGGGATCAATCTGCTATTTCTATCTGTTTTTCAGTTCTAGTTGTTAACCCGAAAAAAAACTATTCCAGTTTGATAACGGTTGCTTATCGCATGCGTAAAAACAATTCAAATAAAAACCGGCATATCTCGGAAAAAACTTATTAAAAAACGGCAGTTAAGAAAAAACTGAGCAGTCAGTTGGAGGAGAGACTTGCAACCTATGAGAGTATATTGACAGCAACCCACTATAGGTTTGGCATTTCCAATTTTGTGAAGTTTTATTTATCTATGCTCATTGAAAAGTTATATAAAATCTCAAAAAAAACGTAGTAACTTGAGAACTAAAAGCAATTGAGCAGCCTCACTTGAAGGCAAGATTTGCAACGCTTGAGAATGCCCTGACAGCGCCCAATTACAGGGTTGGGAATTTCAAGTTTGGCGAATATTTCAATTTCTGAGTTTTTTGAAAAGTTCTGAAAAATCATCCAAAATCGCATATCTCGCAAAATAAAAGGATTTGAGCTCAAGATACGAGGCAAGATTTGGAGTGAACGATCAAATTTGGAGGCAAGATGACAGAGATCAACTTAAAGGTCGGGAATTACAAATTGTTTAGATTTTTGAAATTAACTAGAAATTTTTCACAAAAATTGTCGTATAGCTTATAGCGTAAGTTTAGCTTATAGTATAGCGTATAGATATGTAGCTTAAACATGAAAAAAACTTTCGTTGAACAAGCCAAAATAATACGCTGAAAAAGCTTAAGCATGGCGAGATAGTGAAACCCGCATTTAAATATATAATAGATAACCCGCATTTAAATATATAATAGATAAGGCGCAAGCGTTTGCTGATCTAAAAGTGAAAAAAATTGCAATTACTTCCAAAAACTGGACCATGATTCTATTCAATGTCTTCGCTTTTATCTCAATGTGGACTATTCTACAAAACTGAATTACACGAGTGTAAAAGTTGAGTGTTAATTGTGATTTGTATAATAATTCAATCTGTTAAATCAATCAATAACGCAATCCAACGAAACTGCGCTAAACAACGTTTGTTAACCAAAAACGACAAGCACTAAATTAACTCGATTTCCATTTTATCAAACGTTCTCCCATTTTTTTTCAAGACTAACTTAAACTTACATCAAAGATCACATTTTTATGTTATAAAACTCATTTAACAGCAATTTCAACAAATCAATTCAACAATTTAATGGCAACGAAAATAAGCGAATGAACGGGTGTTTTGATGCAAACTTCTAAGGCACAATACTGAAAAATTAAGATGGAATTTCAAAACGACTTATAAAATTGGACGACTTTAATTCATATTTGTAATGCATTGCTACGCATTTAATGGCAAGGCGTTTAGGATTATAACAATGCACTACTTAACAAATAGTATATACTTAATAAATAGTAAAACATCATGATACAGATTATGAGCTTTGTTGAAATCAGGTCGCTAATTTGCAAACGGTATCGTTTTTCACCGTGTAACTTTTAAGTAGTAATTTCGATTCTAAATTTACCAGCTATTTTTAATCGTATGAACATTTTTAGTCTCGTATGAACATTTTTAGTCTCGTATGATCTTCGATTCCAGATTTTTGCAAGTTTCGATCTTTCAACCAGTCAAATTCTTTGTCTTGTCTCGACTGACTTCGTGTTTTGTTTCGTGTATTCACAACGACTAGGATATTTAAGCTTTAACTCCGTTTACTGGGGCTTTTCCAGTAATATTTCCGTTGGGAAGTGACCCTTTGTCATGACCTCCGTCATTTCCTGAAATAACTATTTATAAAACAAAAGAAACATCTCTATTTCATATGAACATTTAAAAACAAAGTCAAACTCAGCACACATTAATTTCCTTTCATTTTGTAACAGGCAGTCACTTCTTAAAAATTTTTCCGAATTTCCTCGTTTCGGTCAATTGTAAATTATTTCAAACTACAGAAAAATTTCGACCCTTTAAACAGGACCGTATATTACTGGACCAAAACTTCATTCATATACGTAGTGCGTTTGATATCAAAACTAGATAACCGTTCAAATGGGATGAATCTTCGTCACCATCATGTGTTCTCTTCTTTCCAGCTTCCCCACTCCCATGTCTGTTTCTTTGCGGCTTAGCACCTTGTTGACTCGAATTACCTCCGTCGCCGCCTTTCGAATGAGGTCCGTTATTCGATCTCCTTTGATTTCCACCCCCACTGCCCCCGCTGGTTGCGTTTCGCGATGACGACGACGTCGCTGGAGTTTCTCCGGCGCCCCCAGATGCTCCATTAACCCCTCCCGATTGCACGTTACCACCTTCGGCTCCAACTCGATCTTGAGGTCCATTCGTCGACGCTCTGTTGTTGTTGTTGCGTTTGTCGCCGTCAGCACCTACGTCTCCTGAAACTCTTCCGCCTAGACGTCCCGTGTCGAACTGACTCCCTCCACCTCCCCTTCCCCTGCCTCCTCTTGCCCTGAATCCTCCTCCTCCTCCGCGTCCTCTAGGAGGTCGGTCATCATGCTGATCTATCTCTGTATTCCCAATCGGCTCTGAAAAATAGCGATGTTGAATTTAAACCTAAATCTGAGGGAGCTGTTAAAAATTCCAAGGTTTTTTTAGAGCTTGATTCAAGTACATGAGTTTCGATAATGATAATTGGCAAAGTTTATTAGCCCATGATCTGCTATATAAGAACTCACCTCTTGAATCGGATGCAGACCTTCGTGGAGGTCCTCCCCTGCCCCCTCGCATATTGGGTGGTGGTCCCCCTCCCCTCATTCCCATTCCACCGCCATTCCCACCTCTTCCACCGCCTCTGAAGGGCTGTCCCCGGATGGGCATGGCGCCTCCCCTAGGCCCACCTCTAGAATAGCCACCCCCTCCTCGTTCTCCCCTTGGTCTTCCGTATCCTCCTCCTCTGAATGGGGGACCAAGTCGACTAACAGCCGCGACTCCCTGAAATCGATCACGTTTTCTTCGTCATTTCAGCTTTGGTAATTGGAGAGTACATTTTGCCTCCCTTTTATCAAATGAAATTGAATTGAACTCAAAAAGTGCATATATACCTTTAAGGACATTAATTTGTGCATTTATAAGCATGAATGCATTTCTTTTGTTAATTGAGCATTTTAAGACTTTTCCTGAAAAAAAATCACGACCCATATAAGAGTCTCTACTACGTTCATCGACTCTTAAAAAATTTGTGTCAAGCAAACAATATCGAAGTTAAATAAAGAAAATAGCCAACTGACAGTTGGAACATAGTAATGAACGCAAGTAAACATTGACTTTCTTGAAAAAATCTCGACTTTCTTGAAAAAATCTCGACTTTCTTGAAAAAAAAAACACTGACTTTCTTGAAAAAATCTCTACTTTCGAAATTCAAAGAAAACAATAGATGCCCTTCAAGCTCTTTGAATTTCTAGAACAATTTATGATTGGCGCTTTTTTGATAACATGAACCCAACTTGAAAAAACTGGATCAACAGGTAAACTTTTTATTCCGCTGGGAAATCTTAAAAATAAATTCCACTTTCGAAATTAGAAATCGTTTACGTTTTTTGCGCCATTTCCACGTTCGTATTTGGAGAGGGCTATTTACGTCACTTTCAGCAGATGAATTTCAATTGAACTCAAAAAGTGCATACATACCAAAGTGCATTCATAAAAGCATTAATACGTATGAATGCACATTGTAGTTATTAAAGCATTTTAATAAGACTTTTTCCTGAAAAAAAAAAACGAAAAAAGACCTATATAAAAGTTTTCACTTTGTTCATTACTCTAAATAAAAATTTCTACTCTTTTACTCGTGCAAAATCATCAAGCTTTCATCTGATGGACCCAAACCGACAACTTCGAATCAAATGATCGGCATACCTCTTAAATAAATTTGGGCAAAACTTTTTCAATTGATCAAACACCTCACCTGGTTCTGCAGCTGGTTGTTCAGTTTGTCTCGTTCATCCTTGACCGATTCGAGGTCTTTCAGGGTTTTGATTTTGTACTCGATCATCATCTTGGCAAGTTCGAACGCTTCTCTACTTCCAATGCACCACAGCGGAACCATGTGCTGAAACATCTTTCCTCATGAACAACAACAAAACTGAGATGCAAGTTACAAAGGGTAACTATCCGAAACCCATAGCCAAAAACTACACAAAAAAGTTTCTTCCATATTAACAGCTATATAAATATATCATAAGCCTCGAACTATCGACCAGGAAGGTATTTAAAAAATGAATGAATAAAAATCTGATGATCATAGCAAGTTTGTCCAGAACTTTTCCTAAATTATAGCTCATAGGTGACAGTTTCATACATTCTCTCGTAACTATAGAGGAATCAAAACAGGGAGTCGATAGTATTCAACTTACTTCTTGCGGAGCATCTAGCTCCCCTGGCGTAGCATTTGGATTCGGAGGAGGGGGAGGAGCTCCATCTTCAATTCTGATCTTGATGACCTATGTAAAACGAAACAATTCGTTTTCTAGAATCAAAGCAATTTCAAAAAGCTTACAATTTTCAGAAATGGTTTCTACTTTTTTCATCAATCTGTAACTGATTTTAATGAATGGAATTTTCGAATGATCCAAACGGTTCAAATAAAAGTGTCATGTAAACAAATCTTGGATCAAAAAAACACCAACCCATCAACTTCGATTGAAAATAGTTTATATTCGACAATTGTAAACATTGCCAACAGACTATTGGAAAAGATTCAACGAATGCAAGAAAACAAAAAAAAACTGACTTTTTTTTTTGAAAAAAATCAAATTTCAAAGAAAAACAAATTTTAAAGAAAAAAAGATAGCCCTAAAGCTCATTGAAGTTCTAGAACGAATTATGATTGACAATTTTTCTGATAATATTAACCCAATTTGAGAAAACTGGATCATTTGGTAAAAAAATTTCTGTGGCAAAATCTGAAAAATAAAATCCTCTTTCGAAAGTTGAAGTGGATTTCAATTTTAGATTTTTCCTGAAATACCAAAGAAAAAAATCATCACGACCTGTGTTCATATGTTCATTAACCATAGTCCACAATTTCAAAAAAAAATCAATTCACAATAACTTCGGTATACATCCAAAAGTAAACAGATAGGTAAATCTTTTACATCTCTAAATTATAAACCAGTTTGAGTACCTGTGTCTTGTCCACTATCTCCTGCAACATGCGTCCATTCCTCCCGATTACCCTGGAGATGAGCTCCTCCGGCACCATCACTGGCTCCTCCACAAACTCCAACATTGCCCTTGCTTTCTTGATTGAAGCCTCGCTCTAAACCACAGATCAAATTGTATTATAGTTATATTTATTTAAAAGTTAACAGCAGCGACCAGTCGCTAAATAAAGACCATTTGGTCAACCTGATTCAATGCATCGGTTTCTAAGCACTATCAAAATCTTACACAGAGGCAAAGCGGAGCTTCGCACACTTGCGATGCAAAAACATATTGCGCACACGATAGTTAAAGGAAAAAAAGACAGCAAAAGTCTGAATTAAGCGACAAAAACTTCATGGTTGCATAGAATGAAGTTGATAAACATCATTAAAAAGAAATGGAAATCATTTACCGAGCTGCAACAAATTTTGATTCGAAACCTGTTGAGCCGAAAACAAAACTGCTGTCATAGAAAATTTAAAGTTTAAATTTTTACGGGAAAAATATCTGGTACCCGATTGCAATAGCCTTGCTTATCGCAAGGGTTCACAACCCAGTGCTTGCTCTGATATTCGGATAATATCAGATTCAGCGCGGAACAGAAGTGTCAGAGAGCTCAAAATTCAAAAGTTTCAAAATTCAATTCTTGCAGTTTCAAGTATTTTTAAGTTTTGACCAAAAAAATGGTGTTTTGGACGCGCTCTCTTACTCAAAAACATAGCCAACATATATTTGGCTCAGAGTTAACGAACGCAAGAAAAGAGAAGAAACTGACACGTTTTTTTCGCAAATACTTCAACTTTCGAATTTCAAGGTAAAAATATATAACTTTTGAATTTCAAGAAGACTCTTTGAATTTCAAGAAAAACATATGATTGATAGTTTTTTGATAAAATTAACTCGATTTGAGCAAAATGGACCAATGGGTAAAATTTTTATTCAGCCGGGAAATCAAAAGATAAAGGAAATGAACTCATCTTGAAAAGAAATCATAATTCAAACCGCGAAAAATCAGATTTGAGCGTGACCAATTTTTAGAGAAATTTCCTGAACAAAATCATCACGACCTAAACAAGAGTCTACATTGCGTTCATCTACTCTTAAAAAATACAAATACCGCCCAGACTTGATTTCCCGGCCTTTGTCTTCCCATGCATTGCATTAACTCTGTGCCAAATGGGCAGAATCAAGCATTTAAATTCATGTTTCATTGAGAGACGAAACTCCAATCTCCAAGCGCAAGCACAGAAAAAGAAAAAACAAAGAAACTTTCAGCTACAGGATTCGACCCTTTGATATCCAAAGTTAGAAACTTACGTCTTCACAACTGCGCCATATCACCTACCGGTCTTGTAAACTAAACACCCGCCACCAATAAAGCGGATAAAACACTTGCAATTGAATTGCCAATTAGAATTAGGCAGTGCACAGACACTGGAATAAAGCATTAATTGAGCACTAAGATAAGAAAAAAAGAACTCGTTATATAACAGAAATTGCTTGTGCAATGAAGCAAGTTGACACACGTAACCTTATATGCAATTTTTTTGAACAAGTTCTTAACGAGAAACAATCTGGCGCCCGGTTGGAGAAGACCCTTGCCTATCACCGGGGTAGGGCAGCCGTGGTCGAGTGGGTTAGGCACATGTCTCTCAACACGAGAGTCATGCGTTCGAATCCCGCTTCGGTCACGGCTGGAGGGGTCCCAGTGTCATCCGCCTCCTCAAGGTGGGACCGGCTGCGGCGAAATGGATGACATCTCCCCCTCCCCCACGGTTGGTCTGCACTGAGCAGGCCGGGGGCTAATAAAAAAAAAAAAAAAAAAAAAAAAAAAAAAAAAAAAATCACCGGGGTACGTAGAGGTGAAGCTGCAATTCTCGAACACAAGCGAAAAAATAGCTCCAAAAAGGTTTAAAAACAAGAAGGAAAGGTAAAAATAAGCTTTAAAAAAACTTCCCATCTTCCGGAATCCAACCGGCGGAGATGAAAATTATAACTTCCTCGCATCTCCGCCATGTACGCTTTAAATAGGTAAACACTAGCCATTTTCACAGAGGCGAAACTGAACTTTGCAATCACAAGTGAGAAAACTGCAAAAATTAGCTGTAGAAAACTGGATCAATAGGCAAAATTTTTATTCCGCTGGGAATTCTGAAAATTAAAACCCAATTTTGAAATTAGAAGTTGATCACTTTTTTCCACGCTATTATTGTTCGATAGTGAGGTTTGCCTTACTTTTAACACAGAATGAACTGACCTTACATAAATCAAAGTCAAACCGAGAAAAAAAATTGAGAGTGATCAAACTTTAGGACTTATTCTGAAAGAAAAACCATCAGCACCTATTTAAGAGTCTGAACTACGTTCATCGACATTTAGCCAGACACAAGACTAATGCAGCAAACTTAAGCCAGACATAATGCTATTGCCGCAAAAGGGTCAACAAATGAGCGCTTTTATTTGCGAGTTGGGCAATGAGAAATTTTATGCTAGTTCGGTTACAAGTGGATTCGCAATATAACACTACACTCGATAGCTGAAGTGTGTAATGATACACACAATCACTGCTTAAATTGACGCAATGTAATGTGATGCACTTCTAAAACACTTACAATTACTAAACATTAAAACACTTACAATTACGAAATTAAAAATATGTTCTCTCTTAAAAAAAAAACAATTTTTTTTTTGCTTCTATAGCCATCAAAATTAATCCTTTATCTCTCTTTTACCTCTCCGTTGATGACGACTTCATACACATTTGGATCTCCACTCTGCTGATGTAACTCGACTGTGGACACTCCAGGTATGTCCCTGGCTGCACTGATATTCACCCCCCTGCCCCCTATGGCCAGGCCCACAAACTCCTGCTTGATTGTGAATGTCTCTGTGATACCACTAGAGCCACACAGCTTCGTTTGCTATGGAAAAAGAATAGAAGTCGTTACAGTGAGGCTTTTGAGACGGTTACAAACAACTTAAAAAAATTTACCCAAACTCACTTTTCGATTTAAAATTTACACGTTTTAACTGCGCAAATTATAGAAAAAGTCAGTTTATACCTAGCAAGGCAACAGTTTTTCCATGGAAAGCGTGGCTTAGTCATACACTTAAATTCGGAATAACAACAAAACTTTCAGTTACATTGAAATGTCCCAGTAAAGATTATCAGACCCTGAGTTCCTTAAAAACATACAGACATCAAGTACTCACTTCTAGCTTGTGGTTTGCGCGCTCTATGTCTGCGAACAGTTCACTTCTGGCCCTCAAGAAGCGGAAGTGTGTCTCGAATAAAAGGTTGATTTTCTTGTGCACCGTAGGGTCTAAAGACTGCAAACACAGGATCAAGTTAAAATCCTACCCTCAAACAGATTAATAATGACCTCCTCATTTAGATGTGATCAACATGTTTAGCAGTGACAGAAAAAATGCTCAATTCTGATACCCAAATTTGCTTTAAACTTTAGAATTACCAGCCAAATTAGTATTCGCTTGTATAGTTACTTTTTTTTATTACTAACGTCTCATTTAAGCTGGCATAACTATTAACATTTTGACTACTTTATAGTAAAAAAAACTTCAAATAGGAAAAGAAAAGTCTTGTTTCTGTGAGGGCTTTTTTTTCTACGAAAAAGTGGAGGTTCAAGATTAAAAAAACAATTTTTTGAAAATTGGGTAAGTCAAAATGAGATAAGTGTAAGTGAAGTGGAGTGTATGTGTGAGGCCTACTATTGCGAGGAGAGTGTCGTTTGCGGGGAGCACGAGACATGGTCCCACTAGAGCACAGAAGTCGGTGTGGTTGGCCTCGTCCTTCGCTCTGAACAAACAACATAATAAAAACACAAATCAGTCAACGCAAGTTTCCTTCGTGGCCAGAACGGTATAGGTAAATGACATACAGAAAAGCTGCTTGCGATAGATGAAACATATCCAGAGCAATTAAAAAATTATCCATGAACTCGTTAAACAGCTAGTTAATCTTTTGCTTTCCGAATTTAAAACATATCCAACAGACAGTTTTGGAAAAGAGTCAATGAACGCAAGGAAAAGAAACAATAAAAATTACATATTTTGAAAAACCGGGGGGGGGGGGGGGGGGGGATGGGAGGATTGATTCGAACAGTCTACAACTTTCGAACTTCAAAGAAAAAAATATATGGCCTTAGAGCTCTTTGAGTTTCTGAAACAATTTATATTTGACACATTTTGATAAAATTAACCTAATTTTAGAAAACGGGATCAACCGGTAAAATTTTGAAAGACGATGAAAAAACTCCAGGAAACGTATGTCTCTCGTGATCCTCGATTTGAGGCAACAAAATTCCCTGCATAAATTAGCACTTAGACAAAACTTCCTAAGCGGTTACAAGGCAACTGCAATTTTTTAGACTAAAAAAAACTGCGCTATAAATTTGGGCCGGGAACCTTTTAAAAGCGAAAAAAATATTGAAAACCAATAACCTGCATCTTTACAAAGGTTAGATACGGCACTCTAAATGAAGAAAACTCCCTAATCCGTCAAGTAAAACTCATTCTTTGGTAAGTAAATCGACAAAAAAATAAAATTTAAAAATTCCAAATCAGAAAAACAAGACCTAAGGCTCCCAAGGCAAGCACTTTATCATTCGACCAATTAGAAGAAAGGGCATATACGTTACTGACGTTCCAAAATAAAGCAAGGTCATTTTTCACAGATTTGAAAGACAAGTTGTTAACGGAAAAAAGCAGGTGAAGATTGCCGAGAACACAATTAAGAATTTACTTTTAAGAAACCGTGGCAAGCAAAAAAATCAATTTCTCTCGAAAAAAACAGCCAAAACAAAAAACTGCTCGTAAAAAAATATAACACCCAACTGAACTCCTCAAATCCAAAATAAGTGCCTTTACTACTTTTTCGAAAGAAACTGTCCCATCTAATCAAAAAGCAGATTTCTAAGCAGATTCATAACTTTTGTTTCGGGTTGATTTATGAAAATCTACGAACTTAAGCTTCTGAATAAATTCTCAATACAAATGAACTCAAAGTGACCTGATTATTAAATACAAATTATTGCAAGACAAAGAGTACATAATAAAACACAAGTGATATTATTGAATGGATGAGATTCGATTTTTCTATCACTGCATTTAGTTATGAAATTGAATCGGTAATGTTATTACAAGCAGAGCAGATCGAAGTGAGTAATTTCAAAAACAGCCAAAATTACACTTCACACAAGCAAAAAATCAACGATGAGTATAGTTGAGATGTCCGTTCGAGCAATTAGCTTCCCATTTCAGCTTTACAACACAGAGGCGAAGCTGAGCTGAGCTGAGCACCACTTGTGATACAAATACGAATGATATGATTAAAATCAAACGGAAAAATGAAAAAAAAAACTTCAAAAAATCATTTTTGTCAATAAAAAATTGCAACAAAGCCCAAAATATCCGGAACAAATTGCCTGCAAGATTAGAATTTTTTCAAAGAGCTTTGAGAATGCTATGAAGAAGTCAAAAAGTCCTTACCTTACTGCGGTACTAAGCAGACAAAAAGCAGACAGACAATTATCTAATTAGCCAAAATTTTCTATTTCCAAAAAAACGGGTCTCAATTGGAGTCGAACTCCCGTGATTTGTCGCCTCAAGAATGGATGTTACAGCAACTTGGAATACAGCTAAGCCATCGAGCTACGGGAACCAAGCCGAATAAAAAACAGACGGACGATAGTCCGAAAAAGCACAAAAACTGTAGTTTGCAAAAAAAAGGCCCGGCCGGATTCGAACCGCAAGCCTTTGCTGTCTCACGCTGTTGTTTAATCTCTACGCCAGATGCGCAGGATGGTTGATAAGATTTGAATTTATTATAACCAACCAAGCTGTAACAAAGCCGAAAACACCTGAGCAGAAACCCTTCATGCCGCAAAAAAAGTTTTAAAAAAATCGTCCCTTTTCCCCGCAGAACACACACACACTCGCACAAACACTTATTTCGGATGTAACGACGCAATAAGAGTAAACCAAATCAATACTATTTCAGCCAAAAATTATTAAGCCGATAAAAAAAAGACAAAAAAAGGAAAAAAAAACTGGTAAAATTACAACCAATGTGAAAAGCAAATTTCCATTCGGCCGGATTTTTAAAATACCAAAAGCAACTGCAGTGAAAATTGTTTCAATCTAAAATAACCAATTCTTAGATGCGCAACAAAGCCGACAAAACAAGCAGACAAACCTGAGGCCGAAACTTTTTTGATCCGGAATATTTAATGTTTGAAAAAAACTTATCCTGGTCAGATTCGAACCCAGGACCTTTGCCGTCCCAGGCGTCTTCGTTACTACCAGGCTAGGTAAGCAAGAGGCACTACAAAAATTAAATTACTTATGAACTTAGATACATTAGGAGTCCAATGAGTCTTGTGGACAAAGTTGTTTACGGGAAAAAAAGTCCAGAAAAATTTTATATTTGAGGGCAGGTTTTGGGAAACGCGAAAAACAACAAAAGAATGCTTAGCAAAACAATTGAGTTTTAAATAAGCAACGGAACAAAACTTAGGAAGTGAAAACAACGCTGACAATCTATGAGCAGACAACAGTATCTCATAAATAAAAACTTATTTTACACACTTTTAAAAAAACTTAAGTCCCCCTGAAACTACACTGATCAACGTTTGCAACTACCATGATACTAGCTATCAGCACAAGAAAAATCCGTGAAGTCGCACATAAGCCGACAAAACTCAAGCAGACAAAGGAAAGTGCGACCATTCAATTTTTACCGGAAAAAATTTCTATTTCATACATATTGAAAAAAATCAAAGTCCTGCCGCGCCTCTCATCTTAGAATGCAAAATCAACCGCGTTATACCCAGACAAGTGAGAAGGAACCTGGAAGTTGTCAGGGTTCATTAGTATAACAGGTTCAATTGCTTGTAAGAAAAGTTGTTTACGAGAAAAAAAGTGTAGATTCCGATCACAATAAAATTGTTTTCGTGTAACTAACGAAAAATTAAGCCGACAAATAGTAAACACAGAGGCTGTGCGAAGTATTGCACTACTTGCGCTACAGCACAAACATAACCTAACAAACTAACCGACAAAAATTGAAACAAAAGCAGACGAAAAATGTTTTTCAATTTTTTTATGAGTCGGAAAAATCGCTGTACCAAAAACTTTACTATGTTTGTCCCGATCTTTCCGAGCAACTTCAGTAAAAAGTTTCCAGAAACACGCCAATTAAAACAATTGAAGGTTAAAATAGCATTAAAAAACATTACGAAGCGATAATCCTGGAGCAGACACAACACTATTTTCTTAAGAAAAACCCCTAGAACATTGTATTGTTTTTTGCACATCAAACTACTCATAAACAGACAGCTTAGCTGGATAAGTCGAAACTTTCTCAGCCAAAGAAGTAAAAAAGAAAAAATGAAAATAAACGATAAACTGAAATCGGGCATTTAAAATAGAGACATACTCAAATTTAGAATGTTTGTTGATTAAAGTACAGGTGCAGATGACCACTAGCTTCAATCATCCTGTAAAAAAAGGTATCTATGAGATGTAATTTTGTAGCAGCTGGTGGCAAGACTCTTGTTTTTTGCATGGGTAAGCAAAAACGACGCAGACGAACTCATAACCCTTATCAAAAAGTTTTCATTCAAACTTTTTGGTTTGTAAGTTAAAAAAGTCTTATTTGAGCGCTGTACTAACATCGTAAAATTATTATTAAAGAAAAAAAACTGCAAGATGATCAGAAAAAAATTGAAACGAAAACAAATTCAAAACAAAACAGAACTTTTCAATACGCTCTCAATCAAAAACTGTTTAGTTTTTTTAACTTTCAAAATATATACTCAGAAAGAGTAATTGCATCAGATAGTTAATTGAAATTAAGCATGCTGTGGCTGCTTGCAGTTCAAAGAAAATTTTAAAAAAAATTATAAACTCAAACAAATCTAAATGAACATTACCAATTTTTGGAAACTTTTCAACTTTCGGGTTTCACACAAAAGGTTACATCACCTTAAAATTTTTGAATTTCAAGATTCTTTTATGCTTTTTACTTGGTTCACAACATTTAACCAACTTCAAAAAGTCGGATCGAAGATTAACTAATTATTTAGTTGCAAGTTCTAGGAATTAAATTCAATTTTGAATTTGGAGCTTATTGAATTATAGGCTTGCTGCGCTTGAAAAATAGAACGCATATCAAAAAAATCAAATCAGGACGACAAAATGCTAAACTTGAGTGAAAAAAAAATAGTTTTTAAATTTCAGATTTTTTTATGCTTTTTACTTGGTTGACAACATTTACCCAACTTCAAAAAACGGATCGAAGGTTAACTAATTATTCAGTTGCAAGTTCTAGGAATTAAATGCAATGTTGAATTTGGAGCTTATTGAATTATAGGCTTGATCCGCTTGAAAAATATAACGAATATCAAAAAATCAAATCAGGACGACAAAATGCAAAAACTTGAGTGAAAAAGATTAGAATTTTTTTTAAAAAAAGACAACGTAATTTAGTAAAAATTCACATCTTCAATTGCATGAAAGTAGACTTATTAAAAACGGGCTCCATTGACCGTATGTTAATAACTCTACTTCCAATTTTCAAAATAAATGAAAAAAGTGAAGCCATTTTTACCCGTTTTTCTATTATCATATCAATGCTGAAAATATACTTGGTGAAAACTCACTTCGTTCCTTGACACTAAATAATGTCAAATGGGAAAGAAACAACAATTAAGGCTTTGACGGTTCATTGGGCTCATGTCATGTCCGTTCATTCAGGATTCCTTAAAAAAGCTATTGAAAATTATATTCTATCTTCACGGCACAATAACTCCGTAAACTCAATAATTGAAGTAGCTGCACTGTTATTAAAGCACAAAACAGTTGATAATTTACCATAATTTACAGAGAAAGAAAAGCTCTGAATATCTAGCCCCTAATTGATTAATTTTTCATCGCAGACGAATTTTGCGACAATAGTAGCAATCAAAACATATTTAGCCGATTGCGTAGCAACTGGGTTCTCTTGTTTGGCTTTCTTTAGACAAACTGAACTAGTCGATAAATATTGTTTGTGAACTTATTACGCTTTCGTCGTTTCACTCGACCAGAAAATCCCGGATAATCAGGCATCAGAAAAAAAACGGGAAACTAAGCCGAGACAAATTAATTTCACAAATTTTTTCGATGCATTTTCCATTAAAAACTTCAAAGGTTTTGTCAAGTTTCAAATTATATACACAGATCGAGTAATTGCATCAAGTAAATAATTAAAACCTTAATGAGTTTAAGCACGCCGCGGCTTCTTGCAGTCAACATTCCTTAGTTGTCACTTTCTTACTAAAGCGTAATAACAGTTGTGAACGGAAAAAAATGTCTTGTTCCTGATTACAACACACTTGCTACAATTTTTTATCGCACACAATTTTTGGTAATATAATAGTAGTCCGAACAGGTTGTACAAAAAATTCTTTTCGTTTCTCTTCTTTAGTTTTTTTTAAATTGGAAACAGTCGAAAAATGTTGTTTGTGAAGCAATCACGCTTTCGTGATTTCATTAGACCAGAAAATCCGGGATAATGAAGCGTTGGCGATAACTACTTACGTCAAAGGTTCCAGTGAACAATGTTCCTGATATCTTCAAAACAAACCCCAAAATACAGAAGGATTGTTTATAGACAGGGTTGCCACGGGAAACATTACCCATCACAAAGAATTTTCTACAGACAGGGTTGCCACGGATCCCATTACCCATCACGAAGAATTTTTTATACACAGGGTTGGCACGGTTTTTTTTAGAATTTCTCCATCACTTTCATGACAAAATTTCAGTTATCGAACACAACGAATTTTTTATAGACAGGGGGTAGCCACGGGTCTTCATGACAAAATTTCAGTTATCATCCATCAGAAAAAAAAAACACTGCCATAGAATTTTTAAAATATTACATGCCAGACATTTTTCCAAAACTTTGGAAAAGTTTTCTCCAACCAGTGATGGAGAAATCTTTGGAAAAAATCCGAAATAATGAAGCGTCAGCCATAACTACTTACGTTGAAGTTTCCAGAAAACAATGTTCCTGATATCTTCAAAACAAACTCAAAAATACAGAAGAACTTTTTATAGACAGGGTATCCACGGGTGTTTTTAAGATTTCTCCATCACTTTCATGACAAAATTTCAGTTATTATCCATCACAAAGAATTTTTTATAGACAGGGTTGCCACGGGTCCCATTACCCATCACGAAGAACTTTTTATAGCAGGGTTGCCACGGGTCTTCATGACAAAATTTCAGTTATCATCCATCAGAAAAAAAACACTGCCATCGAATTTTTAAAATATTACATGCCAGACATTTTTCCAAAACTTTGGAAAAGTTTTCTCCAACCAGTGATGGAGAAATCTTTGGAAAAAATCCGAAATAATGAAGCGTCAGCCATAACTACTTACGTTGAAGTTTCCAGAAAACAATGTTCCTGATATCTTCAAAACAAACTCAAAAATACAGAAGAACTTTTTATAGACAGGGTATCCACGGGTGTTTTTAAGATTTCTCCATCACTTTCATGACAAAATTTCAGTTATTATCAATCACAAAGAATTTTTTATAGACAGGGTTGCCACGGGTCCCATTACCCATCACGAAGAACTTTTTATAGCAGGGTTGCCACGGGTCTTCATGACAAAATTTCAGTTATCATCCATCAGAAAAAAAACACTGCCATAGAATTTTTTAAATATTACATGCCAGACATTTTTCCAAAACTTTGGAAAAGTTTTCTCCAACCAGTGATGGAGAAATCTTTGGAAAAAATCCGAAATAAAGAAGCGTCAGCCATAACTACTTACGTTGAAGTTTCCAGAAAACAATGTTCCTGATATCTTCAAAACAAACTCAAAAATACAGAAGAACTTTTTATAGACAGGGTATCCACGGGTCTTTTTAAGATTTCTCCATCACTTTCATGACAAAATTTCAGTTATTATCCATCACAAAGAATTTTTTATAGACAGGGTTGCCACGGGTCTCATTACCCATCACGAAGAACTTTTTATAGACAGGGTTGCCACGGGTCTTCATGACAAAATTTCAGTTATCACCCATCACGAAAAGAAAATACTGCCATAGAATTTTTTGCTAAAAATGCTACCAGCCAGAAATTTTTCCAAAAAACTTCGGAACAAATTTTCTCCATCCAGTGATAGAGAAATCTTCGGGAAAAAAATCCGAAATAATGAATCGTCAGTCATAACTACTTACGTTGAAGTTTCCAGAAAACAATGCTCCTGATATCTTCAAAACACACCCAAAAATACAGAAAATTTTTTCATAGACAGGGTTACCACGGGAATTTTTAAGATTTATTCATCACTTCCATGACAAACTTTCATTTATTATCCATCACGAAAAAAAACACTGCCATAGATTTTTTTAGCTTAAAAGATTACATGCTAGGCATTTTCCAAAAAAAAAACAATGAACTTAACCACCTAAATCCGTTTTGAATTTTCAGAGCACGCAAACAGTTTTAAAATTTCTTTCCATTTCATACCTTGCTTATTCGTGGCAACTTAATGACACTGGCAACCCGATAGAAAACAATTTGCAATCAGCAATTTCATTGGACACTAAACTAAACATTTAAATTCATTTTGAACACCAATCATCACTGCGACAGGGACAACACAATCATAATCAATTCTTCTGGTACACTGAGAATGGTTTTGATAACTTACAACTCAAGAATCCGGTTGTCATCACATGGAAATTCAAACACTTGGAAGCTGTCTTTCGTCAGGGGTGGTCTGAAATAAATCGAAGTCCTTCATTATCTTTAAACTCATTTTCACCTTCCTTTACACTTCCCTAATTTATAAAATTCCAAGGGTTTTTTGACTGGGTGAAATGATGAAGGACAACTGTATAATGAACATTATAATGAAGAGAATAAAAGAAAGAATAAAAGATAATCTCCAATAAATGAAAAAAAAAGGAGGTGAAAAACATCTTTTTTTGCCAAAAAAAAAACAAAACTAATGAAACTTAGACAAGAAACATATTAAACAAAAAAAATAAATTTGGATAAATCTCTTCTTCAGAACCTGTGCCAAATTAAGATAACTTCGCTCAGGAATTGGGTATAATTATCATAGAGGCGAAACTTTGCGTTACATGACATAAAAAATCGCTTCTTTTACTGAAGCCTGTCGATTTTATAATCAATATATGGATAATATGCAATAGAGCAAACGCTCTATACCATTACACTTTTACTTAAGAATATTTACGCGACAGCAAAAAGCATAGCTTGTACTATTGAAATGAGCCGCAAACATTTCACTTTTAGACAGCTGAAAAAGGGGCTGCGCTAGTATAGCACTACCCTCCGTTGTATAAATATTTGACATGAATTTTAGATGACGAATAATTAACCCACTTTTTGCTGGGTCTTCTGAAGGTTCCATTGCTGACAACTTCCGGTGTTGTTTGTCCATCAGGGAGCAACACATCCACTTGAATCCACTGGAACCAAATTAAAATGAATCGGGAGCTGTTTCAAAAACTGAACAGAAAAGGTTTATATTCCCGTTTGATGGAGATACCGAATATTAGAAACTTATTTTCAGTAATTTTATACATTGTTTATCTCCAGGAATTGTAAATCAAAACTTAGCTGTTTAGCTTTAATTCAATTTCTGTTGATAATGACTTCGCTTTTGTGCAAAAGTTGTTCAGCCAATAGGAAAGTCTAACGATGCTGATAGGTTTAAATTTTTCCATCATTCGGTCCTTCCATCATGAGAATGACCCCTTCCGGTTCCAAAATTCTTGCTAATCGCAACCATAAATACTTTTCGAGCCGATTGAGTTGAAAAACAAACTTTTAAAACCCATAAAGCTCGTTTACAAAATATATCGCAACAGATGAACAATTCAAATATTTTGCGCGTTTTTAGGTTACATTTCATAGAATACGCAAAGAAGCTGAATGAATTATCATTTACTGTGTCTCCTTTCTTTTTGACCCTCGCTCGCCACCAAGCTGCCGGTTCATTGTCTCTAGTTGTTACAAAAACTTCCAACTCCTCCTGCAGTTGAAGCAAGCCAATGTCAAGGTTAGACGTTTCACTTGGCTCACGGAGGTAATTGAAAGGAACTACATGTTCTTGTGTGCTGCAAAAAAAAACATTTAACATCAAACGCAAATCCTCACTCAATGACACTTTTTCAATGCAAAAATGATGGGATGGGTTAAACAACAAATTTAGATAAATAATCGCTATTGAAATGCAATTATTTCTCCAATAATAAAAGGACAAAATTCTAAGGTTATTTAACTAATGTATTACAATTAATTTTTTGTGGAAACCAATATTTTATGACATTTTTTTAACAATTTTTTTTCAGAAAAATCTTTCTAGTTCAATTTCATCGCACTAAATTGCCAAGTATGTATTTTAAACCGCGTTCTAACCTGCTTTCATATTTGACTTTGGCTGTGTCATCTTTAATCGCTACAATGAAGCCCTAAAGAGTATATATAAATAATCAGAAACCATCATCGAATGAATCTTCAGTTAAAGCGGCATCGAGTAACAAAGAGCCAAGAGCCTCTCGGGCTAACACCTCCATCGTCCTTAACAATCGTCAGAAAATCTGATTGAACTATTTTTCAAAACCTACTAAAAACGTTATTGATCAGCCAATAGGACTTAATTGTCCATATCTTAGATTTCACAGCGAGTTTACAGCTGAGTTGAATTAATTGTCAAATAAAGTTCACCTTGTAATACGCTGAATTATCGTTGCGAATTTCCACTTTCAACATCACAGTAATCTGAAAAGTCCAAAACCTGGCTTAAGTAGCTCAAGACATTCTTAGTTTTAAAATGATTCAACAGCACTCGAAGACAAAATCTGTCAATTATTACCATTTCCGATCACTGAAAATGAGAAGGACCTTTGTATTAGGATTTGCTTCAGTTTTTTCTTTTTTTTTTCACGGAAAATCAGGCACCACAATAATCATCGGATTGCGTGATATATTACATTTAAAGTTTTTTAGTCCTCATTCGAACGGCATTAAAAACCATTGAAAAGCTACCGGAGTTGATATGCTCAAGATCTTGTGACACTACGAAACGACTATAGGAGGCAATGCCTCACAGTTATCATAAATTTAAATTGACTTAAAAACATTTCAAGATGTTTGCTGCGTCGAGAATAACCTGTGTCGAGCTTATTCTTATTAAAGTATTATTCTTATTTCGATCGAGCAAAGCCAGCAAGTAGGTCATATAGTAGCTTATGATTCAAGCGGAAGCCACAAGATTTCGTTCGAAGTTTCTTTGACCGCTTTCTTGAGAAAAAAATTCCGCAAAATCAACATAGTTTTCTGTGGAAAAAGATTTAGAACAGCCGAAATCACATAATATACTAAAACTTTTGAAAAGGACTAAGCTGGAGGCCGCGAACAAAAAACGACACAACCACACCGCGAACAAAAAGCGACACAATTTGAAAAGGTAACTGAGTTAAACGTTTTCGCGCTTTGTGCATCATCAGCACTTTAAACTTTTTACATTGTTAACAAAATGATTTCAAAAACCTAACGAAATGATAAATTTTCTTTTGAACAATCAAATTACGTAACCTTTAATAAAATTTTCCATTAAGCTTCTGAGATAGTTTAAAGTTTTGCTGTTTTCCGTTATAACTTTTTGTTTCGGGACTAGTTTCAAATCTGAAATGTCAGTTATTTGAATTTTCTAGCCATATTTTTATATGGACTCCAAATTAGGTGGCAGTGAATACACAGACGAGAAGAAATGAAATTAGCGAGGCACAGCAGATTAGGTTAAGATCCACGTGGTGGTGGAGGCAGAGGCCTGGAGGACAGCCTGTATAGATAAGCAAAAAATATACAAACAAGGAATGCACCTAACGACTAGTCCTTTCTTTACCTGGTATCTCTATGAGCACCTGATCAAAACATAGATAAAATTTTGAGAAGAGCACAAAAAGAAACGAACACTCAACTATCCAGGGTGATCTTGGAGAAACAAAACTTGACTCTGATGAGAGTATAAATTGCCTTGATGTAAAAAATCTGGACACTAAAGTTCCAGACTGAGAAGATGATGAAATATCCTCGGAGATTGTATGAGCTACCCAACTCGCAAAACAAAAAATAATAATAAGTTTGGCTTTGAGGATGAAGCAATTTTGATTGAAACGTTTTGTGGTATAAACAAAAAGATGCTCCGGCAATGGGCGCCTCCCTTGCTGTTATTTTAGCCAAGAGGTGGCCGAAAGACTTCGAATCTGCATTAATGATAGAACTACTTAAAATGACCAACGAAGATCTAAGTCTAGTCTGCCTTGGGTGTCGAAAAAAGTAACATGTGGAACTAAGGTTCATAAAGCGCAGCTGGGTTGAAATGTTAACACTTAAATTGTGGTAACGTATCGCACTTCGAAAGCGCACACACTGCTGAAACAGTATGGAATTACAGGACATGCTTAAGACAACCAAAAACGTATCGGTTTGGGATGTGTTAAAATTTAAATAAGATATTTGGATGACATAGTTAGAACTGATAGGACGATCCTGGTGTATATTTTGGCACTGGGCAATACATATCACTCATGGGTGTTACCAGAATTCCACAAAAACCGGTTGTAATCTTAATTTTAGAAGGTGCACTTTTTAGAGTTACGATCGAAATGTGAGAGGGGACGGTCAATCGGGTTTCTAGAAGTAGTTCATCTTAAGTAAATTTTGACAGAGCAATGTCACAAAACCGATTACAACAGATTGAAACTCAATATTGGGAAAATTGGTCGGATTGAGGACAAGAAAGTTAAGATATACTTAGTACTTCCAGCATCAAATCAGAGAAACGAGAAATGGTCGAAACACTCTCCCCCAGTTTGACACTGCTACTTCGAGGCAATCCATTGTAACTACGAGCTGTGAGAGCGTCATAAACTTGGGGCACAAACAATTTTTACTGCCAAAAAATTAAAAATAATGCTTGCCATTTCTCAAAACTTGCATTGCGCCTGAATTGAAATCCAAAGTCATGTAAAAGCTTACGTTTATTGGATCGTTCTTCAACTATGTCGGGCAGAAAATGCGACAAGAAGCTAAGAGTACACACGCACTCTACAAAGAGGACTCCCCTGTAGGACAGCATTTGCAAGCATGTGGATAGGAGGTTAGCAGAGTTGCTGAGACTATAAAGACTTGACAGACAACACCCAAAAATCCCTCAAATAGAAGCTTTGCAAAACTGGAGGGAAAGACCGGAAACGAACACGGGCGAAGATTTCAGGAACCGATAGCAAACAGGCTTGAAAATAGTTCCGGAACAAAATTTCACTGGAAAAAGAACAAATACCAAAAATGTTAGCAATTCAGCAAAATGTTAATAGTTATTTAATACTGTTAAATAACTATAGCGGTGTTGCTTTGATTGGTTGACTTTTGGAAGTGTCTTGTAGAGACCTTGTTTCATTTTCTCTTGATCTATGATCATCTTTTAAAAATTGTTTGTTTTTAAATTCAATGATGTACAAAAGGTGTGTAATCATTTTCTCGTTTTTTTGCCTTCTAATTTTATTGCGCTACTTGCATATCAACCAGGTATCCTTGTCATTTCGACCATTAAACTTTGTATTCGAGTGTGTTTTTGAAGTTTTTTTTGTCCACGCGAAATCTGGTACGATAAAAAATCATCAGAATGGGTCAGAATTAAAAAAAATATCATCAAACTATCAGCATGAAACCCTTTCGACAGCATTTTTGTCAATAAAAAATTCCAAAACATGTAATGTCGAGACAAAAGTGTCGTTTGAAATTTTTGAGTTTTAGTCTAATTTCGAGCGAGTAGATCTTTTAAAAGGATAAGCCATAAGACTTTTATTCGGGACTTTTAACGCTAATTTTACTCCAATAAAATCAGTTTTCGATTTAGTTAACGCAATCTTGGAAATAAAACATTTCAGAAATTCAGTTAAATTCTAGCAAAGAAAATATATAAAAATTTTCAAAACATTTCCAGTTGGTTTTCGACAAAAACAGTAGTCAAATATGATTATTTTACTATTTCTATCGAATATAGCCTATTTTACGACTAGTATCGCCTGTTTGCTTTTTTCAGTACTATCGAATCGTTTTGGTCTTTCACTCAGATCCGTTAATAACACCATGCACAAAATACGACACTTATACAAATATAAACGTTTCGTTGTTCTTTTTGAAAACTACCGTCAGAACATTCTGAGCTACTGCACAGCAGCCAATTATCGATTTACATGTTCTTGTTGCTGCGGATTTACAGAATTGGATTGAGAGCAGTCGTTCCCTCATTATCTTCTACAAAATTGTCAACAGGGCAAATGATAACTCGCAACAGCGAGTTGCCAGGTGCATAAGTTAATCTCAGAGAACTTTTCGTCCAAGAACTTCACCTCAGTGAAAAAGAAATTCACAACTTTTCAAACAAACTCTTACAGTGAAAATTAGGTTTTAGTGGTAATTGTTCAAAATAAACAATATTTTGTCCCAAAAAGGATTCGTTTTGGTCAATATTCAGAGTCAGTTTTGACACTAGAGTGCTACACCAATGCTATAATCGCTCGGAAAGTATACACATAAGCAAAGAAGAACTTCGCAAGACTTTGGATGCAAAAAACACACTGCCCTATAAAATATTGAATGAAAAAAGTTGAAACATTTCTGAAAAATTATGTAAAAAATTATGTAAAACATTACTTGAAAAAATAATTTGACAAAAGTTGAAAAATTACAGCTACAAAAACTTCATATTTGCATCAAATGAAGTTCATGAACAGGCCTTAAAAGAACAAATGATTTTAAGAGCGGCAACAAAGTCGACAAACTTTGAGCAAAAACCTGTTGTCATAAAAAATTTCATTAAATTTATGTTTATACGAAGGAAGCTATGTGTTATGTTTATAATAGGGAAGCTAAAAGTTTATAAAAAATGATTTCAGTTCGAGTCCCGATTGTTAATACGACCCATCCAAACTGAAACACAATCCCAAACGGATTTATTTCTATATATTTGCCCTCGAAATTACGCAAAATAAGTTGACTAAGTCGATATAACTTATTGAAAAGGCACGTATTCACAGCGCCAAATTAAAAAAACTATTCACAGCGCCGAAAACTGAAAATCTATTCACAGAGTCGAAAATGTTTTGTTCCATATTTCAAACAATTGTTTTGAAGATAACTAACTGCAGCTAATTTCCGACATCACAGTCTAGTATTCGTTCAAATTCCGGGTTCTTCTGCGTTAAACCTGTTTGAACACCACGATTTGGTAAAATTTCCGTTTTGTATTTCTCAGAAATATATTTAAAACAGTAATTCTTCTGTTTGTATTTCTCAGAAGAGTGATTGAAACAATATTTTTGCATTGTGAATAGCTAATAATTTTTCGGCGTTGAGAAAAGCTTTATAATTTTCGACGTTGTATATATTGAGCGGTGTGGGGATCAACCATTGAACAGTTAGAAACAAACAAAAAATTGAAAAAGCTCAAAATCACATGGGGGTACTATTACTACTCCTACTGAAAGAATTAATTCCCTTTAATTAAACATTCGCCGGAAGTACATATCGACGAAAAATAAAGCTAAGTTATAAAACGACTGGCCAGCGTCTAAACTAAGCTCTACATGCTTTTCACAATCTCTATCAAAGCCAGTTCTTTTGGTGGTCTTTCTAACATCGGGTCGACAAAAACGTTACTGCTTTCGGCTTAGGTCAAAACACTCAAATTAACTTGTTTACATGCAAAATTAGTGAGCTCATGG